TCCCAAGCTACTAGTGGATCCTGGAGAACTATGACGTCACAGTCTTCTCCACTGCGTTATTAAGGCTATGCCGCGACTGTAGAAACTATGGAATCCGGATAGGGCCATGCAGTTCACTATCGCATCATCGCACCATCGAGGTTTGAGTCGATAGTGCGATGACGCGATAATGCGATGACGATGAAGCGATGGTGCGATAACGATGAAGCGATGGTGCGATGACGATGATGCGATGGCACGACAATGCGATGACGATGACGCGATGGCGCGATAGCGATGATGCAATGGTGCGATAGCGATGATGCGATGGCGCGATAGTGATGGCGCGATGCTATATCGTGTCATCGTTATTGCTTTATCGCACTATCGTCATCGTGTCATCGCACCATCGCTCTATCGACTAGTACTTTCTATAACCGGATAACATTCCCAGCAGTCATTGCACAACATGGCGTTTGTTGACGAAAAGATTCAAGAATATTTCTTTAACGGATACGATAATAAAGAAATCATATTCCTTCTTTGGAGTAATTATGGTGTGAAAATAAGGTAGGTATTATTAATTGTCATAAGTTATGATAATATAAGTACCTGTATAGGCAAATATTTTCTCTAAGAGTAATAAAATTACTATACATTAAATTTATAGTCTCATTCAAAGATTGTTTATATGCGTGTTCTACATGTATGTATATATCTGTTATTTAAGAAATAGTGATTGAAGTTAAAATCTCCCATTTTAAGATATATTTTATGCATTATTTTTTTTAAATAATTAAGCTGTAGACATTTGAAAAGGCGCATGACCAGACTTAATTTGAGAAGACGGAGATCATACAATGTGGATGTGGCAATAAGGGCTATTCAGGTAATATTGCTTGTGTTTTATTTCATCTTTCTTTTTTGATAGATTGATCAAATCTAGAAAAATCGTCAGTAACATCTACATTTTGATGATAGCTCATTATTTTTTAGTTAACTCATACAAATGTTAAAAATTTCATATGATTTACATATATTCTACTCAAAGGAAGAAATGATGTTCAGTGGACAGACTCTTGGGTGTCGTTCGATGAAACGAAGACTTCTTCAGAAACATGGCATCTTGATAGGAAGGTATATTATCTTATTATGATTAATAAACAGAATTCAAGTTTCTTGTTTAAAGTATTAGTTTTATTTCTTTAATTCAGCAGAATGCCAATTATACAGAATATTTGCTGACATTACTTTTATGAGCTTAAAGACATACACAACATAGTGTTGGAATTTTATTTTCTTATTCCCTTGTTGATTTAATTAAGAGTTCAATAATTGAAAAACCTTTGTACAATTTAATGATGCCTGTAAATGCCGTTACCTCCTCTGAAGCAAATGTTGAGGAAATACCAGCTAAAACTATATTTTTGTTATTTTTTTCTTTGAGAAAATACAATGATTTTCATCATTTGACATCTTTTGAAAACACCTGGTAATGTATGCTTTTTTTCTTTTCTTTTTTTTGTCTTAAAACACCTGCTGAGATTCTATAATTTTAAATTAGGAATATCCTGGAAAATAGTTGGTAAGGTACATGTAAATGCAAGTTGCATATGACCTTAAGAGGCAATAATGCTTTTCTTAGTCAAAATTTGCAATTTCTATACTACTTGACATGTATTTCTTACTCAACCCTTTAGTTTCCTTTTCTTTCAGAAGATACATCTGAAATTAATCTAAACATGTTCTTGGCCTATTGGACTGGAGCTGACGCAATCCCTCCACTAGGATTTCACAAAAAGCTTGAAAGTAAATTTGTGGAAGACCCTGCCTGCTTGCCAGTTGCACATACCAGCGATCTTTTGTTGGAAATATCTAGGGGAGAACCCCCTGAGGAATTTCACAGAAAAATGTACTTGGCAATGACTTGGGGGTGGGGGGATTCCATCTTGCTTAAGAAAATAACTTTATGTATTCAATGCTATATCTATGTTTTGAAATTTTTCATTCAATTAATTTTTAAACGCAATAATGGCAGTGATAGTCATATTAAGGAATAAGAGTATTTCTTAAGGGAAAGATAATACTAAAGGACATTGATAATCATATGAGGATCATTTCTTCAGGGAAAGATAATACAAAAATACATTGATTTTTGTATGGGAATATTAATTGATATTTGGTGTATTTGTGGTAGTAAGCATGCTTTTGAATTTTAAATTCTAGATTGTTGCATCTGTATGCCAAAAAAGTTTTTCTCAGAGCAGTTTGCTTTCCTTATATCCTCATTTTGCAATTTCATTAATAGTTGTTCTAATGAATATGGCATGTATGGTGACCCAATAAACATAGTAATAATTTCTGTTTTTGACTTTTAATTCATACACTTAGATGATTAGTGTACAACATTTTTCATGAAAATTGAAAAAAAGTCAAGTGAAACATCAGGTGATGATTTTTTCTCTAATCTTAACTTGGATTTTACAACTTTCCAACCAAGTACTTCAAAGCCTCCATGGCCTTCTCAGTAGTGTTTGGAACAGTTCTCCCACCATCCAAAAGCAAATGATTAAAGTATGCTGCATTGTCCTCACAACATCCTGTCAAGCTTGGACTAGGAAATAATCTTTGAAACTCTAGCACGTCATGAATATCCACTGGAAATTTATAATCTACTGCACCTGTACATAAAAAAATGAAGTCATAATGTGTTGATACTGTTTTAAATTTGAGCACTGAAAAACAATCAAGGTATCGAAGGAGAAAGGTAAACACAGAAAAATATTCAAATTAAAGTTAGTGATTAAACAAATCTTTGCTAGGAAAAATACTAAAAATTTGAGGGCGGAAAAACATCATGGTTTTCCTGGGAGACTTCCATCATCATCATAGGGTCTTTGTGCTCTGATGTAATGGTTATTCCATTCTGTTTTTATTTGATCAAGTTCTCGTTGGGTGATTTTCATAAAACAAAAGCGAAGGCATTCTCTAAATTGCATGCAGAAATATCATAATAGGTTATAATCGCATAAATTCTTAAAGTATAAATAAAGAATTTATTTCTCTTCTTACATGTGCTCGTTATTTGCTGATGAGAACATCCCTTGGTCTTCCATGTTTTTGAACAAGTGTATCCAGAAGGAGATGCCCATCTCTCTCAGTGTTCTCCACCAGCGTTCAATTCTCTTAAATCAAAATGTGTTTTTGAAAAACTGAAGGCTGATTTTTCAAAAGTAGGTCAAACTTCAAGGTTATTGAGTACAAATGTTGGTACTGTCACAAGGAATACACAACTTCCCTAGGATCAACCGTTAAAAGTTATGGCCAAGGTCAAAGTTTTACAAAAGTAGGTTAAACTCCAAGGTCAATTATTATAATGTTGGTACTCAAAGACAGATATTTTTTTTTACAAGAAATACACTTGAGAAATATGAAATCTCTAACATCAACCATTCAGAAGTTATGTCCAAAATTAAAGTTTTTTCACAAGAAGGTCGAACCCTATGGTCAAGGTCATTACGTCAAAAAATGTTGGTGCATTAAAGTCTTTGCAGATAAAAATACAGACAGTCCCAAAGCTATATGGATAAGGCCCCTGAATCTTGAATCATAGGGGCATAAAACAATCACATAAATATGTCATATATTAATTTCATAATGATACAGAAACAATAATTTGTATATCAGATTATGTGCAGAGATATTTTAAATCATTAAACTGACTTCATTTTCAAATATTTGACAACAGGTTTCTTGAAAGGGGTATGGGAGGGTTATCCCTCCCCTAGGTCAGAAAATTTATAATAAAAATGCATACAAGTCTGTTGCATTCTGGGGGTCATTTTTTTCAAATATATAATAAACAAATAAATAGCAAAACTTTAAACAAAAGATTGGTGTTTTCAGGGGTTGCAATTGCATCCATGCCCCCCCCCCCCTTAATGACTCTGTAGTATAACTAATACTATAAAAAGAACTGTGTCACCTTGAACTCTATTAAATGAAACTGATGCAAATAATTAAAGTATGAAGTTTGCAAAACTTATTATTTTTAAAATTATCTGTGGTATCAGATTACACAATGATGCCTATGAAAGATAATAATATGAAGAATTTTTTTTTGTCTTTGAAAAGTAATAGTGAAAATAATCAGTTGATCTATTTTCCCTCAGGAAAAATGTTCAGAAAAGTAGAGAGTTTGAAAAGAAACTTAAATGAGGATTACACATAAAAATTTTTAAAGTATTCAATTACTTCAGTTATTTGATCTTATATTAAGTTGGGACTTATTGAATTGACTGTGATTAGTAGATTCCTCAGATTTGATCAGTCCCCCCCCCCCCCCCCAATTTTCAAATCAAAGGGTAAATTACTCTAACTTCTACTGCAGGAATGTTAACTGGAATTGGAACTCAACCCTAGGTGTGCAGATTTTAGAAGGTTATTAAACTCATCTGATTTGTTTATACAATATAAGTTACTGAATCATATTGTTATTTTAAAAAAAACCGTCATATTCATACCTGGTTAGACATTGATCTTCCTTTGATTACACTCTTTTCTCCACACATGTCATCATTATCGTACCAACGGCAGGGTTTTTGAATGTCCTCAATGTATATATTCTCAGTTCCAGCATCAAGTCTCACACACCTTGGAGCACCTATGTATTGGAAAACTCATACTACCATGAACTGAGACAAATATGGTTTCTTTGTTCAAGTAAATATTTTTTACAAAATAATGCATTTTATGTGTATTTATTCTGTATCAATACAAAATAATGTAATATTTAGAACGTTACTTAGTAGAAAATTAACTTGTGAAAATTAAACTGCATTTACAGTTTTCAGGAATATATTTATCAATGATTTGTAAAAATTATATACTCAACTATTTATTTCCTCCAGGTATTTCAAGAAATATGATGCTACAACAAAGGAGTCATTGTTTGTTCTTGCAACTTTAAGCCATAGTATTCGTCTTGAAAATCCGAAAGAATAGGAATTTGATCATTTAGATTAATAGTTAATATTGTTTTCTGATATGTAGCTACAACAGTATATAACAATCATAAATTCTATAACTTTATAAATTCTTGTAATCTTACATGACTCAAATGAACACTAAAAACTGATGCACATTAACTTACCCACACATTGCACCATGTATAGCGAAGCCTAATGGCTTCAACTTGTCGTACCCATCAACATGTGCAAGATAATTTGGTCCATTGTTTAGATACATTCTTCTTGTCAAGCAGTGACTTGCTCTTAGATCAACTCCATCAGGATCGATTATTCTCAATAAACACAACATGTTATCCCTAGAACAGTATATATATAATTAATCATCAACGATTTTAAATCTAACCATTACATTTTAACAAAGAAAAAAATGAATCCAATGAAATTATTATAAATATCTTATTGATATAAAACTCATTATAAGCAATAGGCACATCGTTTGAATTCTGTTTATTAATCATAATAAGATAATATACCTTCCTATAAAGAAGCCATGTGTCTGAAGAAGTCTTCGTTTCATCGAACGACACCCAAGAGTCTGTCCACTGAACATCATTTCTTCCTTTGAGTAGAATATATGTAAATCATATGAAATTTTTAACATTTGTATGAGTTAACTAAAAAATAATGAGCTATCATCAAAATGTAGATGTTACTGACGATTTTTCTAGATTTGATCAATCTATCAAAAAAGAAAGATGAAATAAAACACAAGCAATATTACCTGAATAGCCCTTATTGCCATATCCACATTGTATGGTCTCCGTCTTCTCAAATTAAGTCTGGTCATGCGCCTTTTCAAATGTCTACAGCTTAATTATTTAAAAAAAAATAATGCATAAAATATATCTTAAAATGGGAGATTTTAACTTCAATCACTATTTCTTAAATAACAGATATATACATACAAGTAGAACACGCATATAAACAATCTTTGAATGAGACTATAAATTTAATGTATAGTAACTTTATTACTCTTAGAGAAAATATTAGCCTATACAGGTACTTATATTATCATAACTTATGACAATTAATAATACCTACCTTATTTTCACACCATAATTACTCCAAAGAAGGAATATGATTTCTTTATTATCGTATCCGTTAAAGAAATATTCTTGAATCTTTTCGTCAACAAACGCCATGTTGTGCAATGACTGCTGGGAATGTTATCCGGTTATAGAAAGTACTAGTCGATAGAGCGATGGTGCGATGACACGATGACGATAGTGCGATAAAGCAATAACGATGACACGATATAGCATCGCGCCATCACTATCGCGCCATCGCATCATCGCTATCGCACCATTGCATCATCGCTATCGTGCCATCGCGTCATCGCGCTATCGCTTCATCGTACCATCGCATCATCGTCATCGCATTGTCGTGCCATCGCATCATCGTCATCGCTTCATCGTTATCGCATTATCGCGTCATCGCACTATCGACTCAAACCTCGATGGTGCGATGATGCGATAGTGAACTGCATGGCCCTATCCGGATTCCATAAGAAACTGTGACCGTTGTACTTTTTTCATCCTGCAGCCACCGCTTGCATTGCCCAAATAAAGGTAACCAAATCAACCAACGCTATATTCAATCAGTGTCGAGAAATATAGCCCTTTCAAAAAGTATTGTGACGTCATATATTTCTTACAGGTTTACGCCCTGTGTTTCATCTGCAGAAATATATAAAACCATGGTTTTAACCATGTCAAATAGACACGTAGTATCGTTTTTGAAAGGGAAGGGCAGAAAAAAATCTCAACTGGAAAAAAGTTTAGCAAGCAAAAAAAAGGGGGGGGGAGGATTATCCGAAGTCGGAATTCCTTTTTCGTAGGGTTGGGAGGGGGCTAGAGGTTTCGACTTTCATTACAACATCACCCGTAGTTTCACTATACTGCAACAAAAAAGGGAGGACAACCAATCTTTCAATGAGCATTTTCAACCGTAAAACAGTAAAGGTTATGTGTGGAAAAAGGAGAGGGGGCACCCCCCCCCCCCCCCCCGAATACTACGTGCCTGTAAATATACATGATAATTAGCTCGAGTCGAAAATGTATAAAATCACTGTAAAGGGGTGCAAAATAATGAAATAATTATTTAAGCATTGAATTCTTATTTTTAGATGTCGTCGGTTGTATAACAGTACAAGTGCCGCGCGTTTCGCTTGTTTAATTTTACATTCTCTAATTTTCTCTGTTGATATTGTTTATTTTATTCATCTTTATTATAAATTTAGCGCCTTTCAGAACTGATGTGGTTAAAAGATGTAAGAACCGTTTTGACGTGGAAAAGGTTTTTTAAGCATTGAATTCTTGTTTTTGGATGTCACCAGTCCTATAACAGTGCCTGGTCGTGCCGAAAAATTGAATACCGCGCGCGGTATGATAATTTGTCGGCATGGGCAGGTGCTGTTACAGATAGGAAATCAATTCAATGGGACCGAGCAAAATCTGAGAGATATTTGAAGGATTTGAGATATCCAGGGTAAAAGGTCAAGATCTAGTAAATGAAAAGTGCCTACAGATTTCTAAAATTTGAGAAACGAGTTCTTTCAATGATCCTTAACAAAGGTGTATCGGGACATAATTTGTAAGTAAACGCTATGATAAAGCACATTTTACACTGCCATTTTCAATGAAAAATAAAGAAAGTGGGGTATAAAAATGACAGTTTTCAAATTCTCCATCTCAGACAAAGGAAATGTATCAATATTGCCAATTAATAGTCTCTCAGAAAACGAGTTTTTATATGTTCTTAACCTTTTCTTTCAAGGATAAAAACTAAAGATAGGTTTCGGTGTTACAGTGTACTTTTGTCATGATTTCAAATTAAAGTCCATGAAAATGGGTCATTTTAGGAATGACTCTAATTCTTGGCCAAATTATTCGAGTATAACCTGGTTTGGGTCAGTTTACGCTTTATAATCCGCGAAGCGGATTATAAAACAGCGTAAACTGACCCAAATCAGGTTATACTCGAATAATTTGGCCAAGAATTAGAGTCATTCCTTATAATTTAATTTTAAAATCATTAAATAACTATGGGTGTAAAATTTCGTTGCTTTTCATTAGTTCAAATTTGCCGCTCAATAATACAACCTTAGTAACGGAAGTACCGGAAGTGATGAGAAGCGAGGGGAGGTAAAAACTGATACTTAGACCTAGCAGCCTTGTTGTTTGTTTACATGTGGTAAGATCGAATTATTTTTTGGTACATTTATGAAATCTGGAATTTTCCATGAATCCCGAGGACTGGAAATGAGAGGATTGTATGGATACAGATGATTCAGCTGGTTGTCAGGGGAGTGTGTCCCCATACCAAACCAGGTTATACAGAAATAATTTAATTTTGTTTGTATTCTAACCTCTGATTGGTTAATATCCAAAAAGGAACACAAATTATTTCTGTATAACCTGGTTTGGTATGGGGACACACCCCCCTGACAACCAGCTGAATCATCTGTATCCATACAATCCTCTCATTTCCAGTCTTCGGGATTCATGGAAAATTCCAAATTTAATGAATGTACCAAACAATAATTCGATCTTACCACGTGTAAACAAACAACAAGGCTGCTAGGCCTGTGTATCAGTTTTTACCTCCCCTCGGTACTTCCGTTACTACGGTTGTATTATTGAGCGGCAAATTTGAACTAATAAAAAGCAACGAAATTTTACACCCATAGTTATTTGATGATTTTAAAATTAAATTATAAGGAATGGCTCTAATTCTTGGCCAAATTATTCGCGTATAACCTGGTTTGGGTCAGTTTACGCTGTTTTATAATCCGCTTCGCGGATTATAAAGCGTAAACTGACCCAAACCAGGTTATACGCGAATAATTTGGTCAAGAATTAGAGTCATTCCTAAAATAATTTGTATTCCTTTTTGTATATTAACCAATCAGAGGCTAGAATACAAACATAATTAAATTATTTTCTGCTTAATGATGTTATAGCCGTAAAGTACAGGAAAAAGTACCCCTGGTAAGTTTAAATCAATCATGACGTCATAATGAATAATCGACATCATAAAAGGACAAACTTCCGCCAGAGTTCGTTTATACCAAACAAGTGTGCGGAGACGCAGAGGACTATGGGTAGTTTGCATAAAAGGACTACTTGTTTAATAAATATTGACCCAACCTATTAGTGTGCCAAGTGTTATTAAAATCTTTCCAAAACTGTTGGAGGAGAAGGAAGTTGAATGGTGTGCTAAAATCATACCGATATATATTTGTAATATTTATTTAAAGTGAACCGGAAACAATGTTATATAAGTAATTTATCCATGCATTATTATGATTATTTTTTTTTCATTTTTTGAGTTCGAAAAAGCATTAAACTTTCTATGCAGTCTGTATTCATGTCTATATTTAAACAATAAAATGCTATCTTTATTTGTTTAGACAGGGGTAACAGCAATTACATAAAACAAGAGGCCTATGTGCCACATCGCTCACCTGAGCACATTGGCTAGGAAAAAGCACAAATTTTTTTAAAAGATTTTTTCGTCTATATTCCTTTGTAAAATTTTGATACCGCATTGTGGCCCCTCCCTATCCCTGGGGATCATCATTTGAACAAACTTAAAACTACACTACCCGATGATGCTTCCATATCAATATGACTACACATCGCTTTGCTGTTCTTGAGAAAAAGATTTTCTCTTGTATATTCCTATGTAAAACTTTGATCCCCCATTGTAATCCCACCCTACCGCCGGGGGTCATCATTTGAAAAAACTTGAATCTACACTACCTGAGGATGCTTATATATCAATATGACTAAACATGGCTTTGTGGTTCTTGAGAAGATTTTTATATATTTTTTTCCAATATATTTTATGCAAAACTTTGATCCTCCATTGTGACCCCACCCTATCCCCTGGGGTCATCATTTGAACCCTTCATCCAAGGATGCTTTGTGGCAAGTTTGGTTGAAATTGGCCAAGTGGTTCTGAAGAAGAAGTCGAAAATGTGAATAGTTTACAGAAAGACGGACGGACAAACAGACGGGTTCGAATCCCACTGTGGGACGTGGAGACCGGTCCTTCGGATAAGACCGTATAAATCGAAGTCCCGTGTCGCAGTAGCTGCTGGCACGAAAAAGATACCTCACTGCTCAATGGCCCTCAGTGCAGAGTATAGGTCAAAATTTGCAGCTCTCCACCGGAAAGTGGTGGCGTCTCCATATGAGTGAAAAATTCTCGAGAGGGACGTTAAACAACAATAAACAAACAAACAAACAAAACTTCCTGGGAATTTTTCGTTCTGAAGGGTTTTGTCAACACAATCCTTCCCCATTCTCCAACCTCAGACCTTTGTCACAACTTTTTGTGTTGCCTGGCTGAAGAGCGGTGTGACACTTGGAGATCACTTAACCTGGCGTCTGTTTGTCTGTGTAGAACTGTAAGAGGTATAGATTTGATATTTTGTACATATATTGCTTAACAGTATGGATTTTGTAAAATACCATAACTACCGACTCATGACCCTTTATCTGGAACTTTGACCTACTTTTCAAAAGAGTTCATAGTGCCAATATACAGGATAATTTTGATATTTAAGGGGCAAATCTTTGTACCGTTTGTCCTAAAATATTATTTAAAAGCAATCCACTTGACCTTTGACCTAATTTGCAAAAATACTCCGGTTAACTTATAAATGTTTTCTGGATTTTTAGAGGCTGGGTTTTGATAGTAAGTATTTATATCACATGTTTATGAGTTATGCCAATGTACTTTGAAAATGTACGATATACAGTTACCACACAAACACTGTGAAAATACATCGGAATCGGTATACCAAAATGGATCTTTGTAGACTGACAGTAAAGAGAGACTGAAATCGTTGAATTATATGGGAATCATATTTCTATTTGATTGTCAGAATCTACTTCAGTTTTGTTGGTGGCCAATAAATAGATGACCTCTCTTATATTGATGATGTTATAAAGCTGGCGACACATGCGTTCCTTGGAACACTCTAGTAATGAAATGAATCGGAAGGAATATGACAATGTGTATTGTGAGGCGAAGTCGCATTTTGAAGTGCTCTTTGAGAAATTTGAAGTGTGTAATAGAAAGCAAATCCAAACACATACTCCTTTCCCAAACACAGAGAAACACCTCCTTCCTTAGAAAAGAATCTTTCTTTCATCCGCCCATGCTAAGACAATTAAAAATAATTGTAACAACATAATCATGTAAATAGTTTGGATTACGCTGATATCTTGGTTAGTTTTAGGTTAGCTCAACGTAGGCATGTTCACTTCTAATACTTGCTGTAAACTCCCCACTTTTCTCAAACAGTCCTCGATATTCATGTTCTGTTTTATTTGATTTGATACACGATTCGTATTTCAGGTCTCTCGAATCTTGACATGGGATTGGAGGAGGAGGAGCATCTAAGTCTTTCATTTTCACTTCAGATGCTGGCTCCTCATAGTCCTCATAATTATTCGACTCATAAAAGTCCGATTGCATGTTCTTTAAACTGGGAAGAGCTGTGCTTCTTGATTTGATTGTCAACTGTACGTTGTCTTGCTGTCTCGCTAGAGTCGTGGTAGAGGGTAAATGATTTTTATCTGAATTTTTTCGATTCCTAAAGAAGAAAAAGACGTGAAAGTAGTATTGAAATTAACATTTCTGGAGATACACCGAGGTTTATAATGGAAATTGACTTAAAACAAGATCAAAAAGTTGGTGGATACATGTATATTATAAGAATCGACATACCTTTTGAAGTACGCACATAATGAAAATCCTCCTAATGCCACCATGATTGAAAATATTCCAACTAAAAACATTTTTGCTGAGAAAAAAGAGAGAAGAAAGACTAAGTTAAAACAGAGACATATAAAAACCAGAGAGGTTTTGGTTAAAACGTATATGTCGACTGTAAAAGTTAAAAATACGTGTATACCTAAGTCAGGAAGATAGGAAGAAGTCGGAAATATTTCAAATCCTTATAATCTAATGAAAGCTAAAAAAAAAGGTTTTGATTAGATCTGCCGCATTATTGTTTCTACGAAAGCCAATACTTCCTATATTAAAACAAGACAAAAAGCACCGGGAAATGAATTTGCTTTTGCAGTGATCTTGACAATGAGTGACTAATATAATTGAACTCCGATTCACTGACATGTTGTACATGTATACTTAAAAACAGACAAATAAAAGTTTTTGTTATACCTTTAAAAATTTGTTCCTATATAAATCAATACTAAAAAAGTCTAACATTTCTTATGTTTTTACTGAGCGGGCTTAAAAAAAATCGACGCTTGACCACGGAGTGAGATATTGGACCTGTCGATGATATGTTGGACCGCTTTGTCACGCTGTAAGCAGGATCAGCTAAATCTCATTTGCATTTGTTGGTGTTCGACTAAGGAAGCGTATTAGTGCCACGAATTTTTTTTTAAAGTTGGTAATTCCAACTTTAATCTTGGCTTTTCCAACTTTAAAGTTGGTAATTCCAACTTTAATCTTGGCTTTTCCAACTTTATGTGATGGAATTGACCGAGTTTAACGGCAGGGCGGGTAAAGGAAACTTACATCATGGAAGCCAGCACAAGATACACATGTACATGTTTGTCAAAAAAAATGGTATTAATAACTAAATGAATTGAATGTGTTCTCGGGCAAAATGCGTTTTGTCGACCCCTCGAACCAAACTGTTTGCCTTCGGCCTAACGACCTCGGGCAATCAGTTTGGCAAACAGACCCAGTCAATAAATTTAATATAATGTTCATCGTATAGCATCGTTTTTGACTTGATATTGTGCTACTCCGATTGAATGAAAGCAATGGCTTTAACATGGAATAAGATTTTTTTCAAAACAAAAATTTGTAGCCATTAATTATTTTGGTATATTTCGTGTATGTAAAGTAAATACACAATGATAGAACGAGTTCAAAACTGTCTATCCAACTCTGCATGTTTTACTGCAGTCACATGTCATGAACTGCTTTAACAAGTTGCAAAAAGCTGTTTTCCTTGATAAGCAATGTGTGTTAAAATGTGTAACGACTGTGAAAAAAAAAACAGTTTATACAAAAAAATCATTAAAAACATGCTTAAGTTAGTTTTTAATCGACATAAATTTCAAATATTAGATTGTTGAATTTAACACCATATCCGTAAATCTTTCGCATCAAAGTCACAGTATTTCATAATGTATATACCATAATACAAGTGTTATATTAAAGTTTTAGAATTCATAGAATTTAAAACTAACTATAACAATCTTGTTATATAGTTAGTTTTAAATTCTATGAATTCTAAAACTTTAATGTAACACAAGTACTATGAATCGAAAAAATTACATCATTTTTATTTCAAACTGTAGAGGTTTGTAACCTCACAGTACTAATAAAACTAAACCATTAATTTTGTAGTTGAAGTTTACTTCTCTAATATTAGACTGAGAACGCCATGGAATCTACGTAAAACCCTTAGTCTATCAATATAGTGTAACAAGGATAATAACTGCATGCTGTCAGTGTCTGTAGCTAACACTTGCAAAATTTTATTAATGAACTTTATATAAATATGTTCGAATCTGTTCTACTTTCACGTTCTATACAAAACATGTGCATGAATTTATTTAATTCGTGACCTTGAATTTTTTCTTGCCATAAATAAATAAATAAAATTCTCATACAAAGTATTATACCTGCCACCGTACAAATTTTTGTTACCCTCGATTGAGCATTTTGTTCCATGTTTTCCTTAATTTGATTAAGGAAAATTCCCCACGTTACCCTAAATTATGTAATAATTTCACAGTTTTATGAAACCGAGTCTACTTCTGAATAACTTGAACACGTATATGTTTAGTAATAATTTTAAAATAAGAAAAGAAAGACAGGTATATTATGATTGGAATGTTTCAACAGTAAAACACTGATTACTTCTTCATTTCATGACCTTCAGAACAACGTCATATCTCCTACTTTTAACCCCAACGTGCGTGGCTTTGTGATCCTTAACCGAACAGTGCACAAGATTAACCAGTCAGACAGACAAACAAACAGGGAACTCGTTAACATAACGGTACATTACCTGAATATGGGTTACATTTCCATCTACTGAGAATTACGGTTGATCATATGATAATAGGTCTAAACAAAACGAGTGATAATGTTAAATACAATTCACTAGTCTTTAAAAGATAAATACTGATTAGTACTTGTATACAAACATGTATACATATCTCACTGTGTACTTTCATACCTTCCTTATGGTAATACAAATAAATTCCCCTTATTTATTTCATCCACTGTTTGCATCTAGAACATGACCCCCCACCCCACCCCCTCCCCCCTGGTCATCTATTTGACTGCCTAACCTTGACATATTTTTCAAACTAAGTAAACTGTATCATAATTATAAACATTTGTAATGAGTACTACAATTTGAGTAATTTTAAGCCTACACTGAGCTTCTTGTTCGTATGCTTGCATGCATTGTTACAACGCAAAATGTAATAACGACGCAAAATGTAATAAAGTGAAATTAATATATTTTGCGTTGTTATATTTTGCGCCGAAATCAACGCAGAATGTAATAAGGCAAAATGTAATAACACACTTTTTATCATTACATTTTGGGTCGAGGTCAACGCAGGATGTAAAAACGCAAAATGTAAAAACACACCTTTTGGAATTATTACATCTTGTGTTATTACATTTTGCGTCGAAGTTAACGCAGAATGTAAATTCGCAGAATATAATTATCGCTTATTATCCCCACAAACAAATGCATCTTTCATTGAAAGTGGGAATACAGTAAATTGCAGTCATTTAAATTTTCTTTTACAACTTTGACTACCCTTATCCAAAATATTCCTAAATTTCCTATCGCTATACGCTTCACATCGATCCCGAGGCAGAGTTTATTAAAACAAAATGTTAGTTGCCATATATACAAAAATTATCAAAATGATAATTATATTTTTGAACTTTTGGAAGTTTTCTTGCTTTGAATTATTCTCAAAATATTTTTGTATGAATTGAATAGGATTTAATTTTATCTATAACTTATATATATGTTAAAGCGTTTCTGTTATATTTTATTGTAAATTCTTTAACTTGTTGCGCCTCGGGAATGGTTTCTTTTTTTTAAGGATAAGTTTTTATCTCTATAGTAACACAAGTAATTACATGTATTTGAATTGGCGATAATAAAATTTATGCAAAGTTAGGAACACAAAATGTGAATACACATGCCTTTGTATTTTTAAAAATATATAGTATTGACAGATTTTTGAAATCTCAGGAAATATGATATAAAATAGTCTCCATTAAATGATATCTAAACTTTACATAAAATCCATTGGGCGTGTTATAGTTTGCATTAACCTCGATGCAACATGTAAAAACGCAAAATGTAATCAGTAATCTCCAAAAGTGGTGTTTTTTGTTTTGTTTTGTTTTTTACATTTTGCGTTAAGTACCTCGACAAAGAAGGCAAAATGTATTAATCTCAGTTTATTACATTTTGTTTTGCAATGCATGTCTTACGTAGGTAGATAGGTAAGTATAGGTCTTTGGGTGGGTGGATACTGAGGTAGGTAGGAGCATGTGGGCAATGGTAAAACATAAGGAAAGACTGAGCAGAAAATGAATTACATGTATAAATCTCTGAGGTGTAGTTTTCACTGAAGCTTTTCACAGAGCGAAAACTGTGTACATGGGTACATACCTCTAATTATTTTTAGAATCGGTAGGAGAAGAAAGTAGTGCAGAAAAAATTACAAGTTGTTTAATTTGCAGACCTGAGTAAAAAAAAAAACTGTGATAAGGTATTAAACTGAGCCTCATACTTGTTGATAAGGAGTATGTTCCCTTGCAAAAAAGCTTGGCAGATGTAATTTATCAAGAAGATCAGCAGAATTATTTTATGTATTATAACACCAGTGAGAAGTCTTGAAATCCCCTACTTTCACTTTCATTTTCAGAGGTTAACGCAGACAGACGCATTTTGCCGGAAAACGAATCTGACATGCCACCTCGAGATTTTAACCAAGGAAAGACAACTTGATGTGCTTTGATTTGAGGGGTCACTCAATGCTGAACGAAAATTAGGGACATTGCTATGTGAAGAAATGTTAACATTGCCGCCTATGGGAAAACAATTAGTGGGCTGTACCCACATGCGTCAAGAAAAACTAAACGCACCATCATAAAAAGAGGATAACGGATGCAATTTATCTTTATCAAAATGCATCATATGTCTGTTTTGATTGTTGTTTTATCCGTATTTTGACTTTTATTTAAATTGATATTTCTTGTGAAATCAATTTAAAAATAAAAATCCCTTCATTCACCTACAACTACCTCCTCTCTCACCAGACCTATCTTCCCCTTGTTATCTGTACTCTCTCTCTCTCTCTCTCTCTCTGAAGATACGTTTTTGAAAAAAAATTGTTGACATAGAAATATCTTCTTCGCTAGCCAAGTGTTTCTAATCCGGACCCCCCCCCCCCTGTTTTGTTTTGAATTAATTTTTCAGTAAAATACATGAAAACTATAGAGAATCTTAACAAAAAACTTGCAAAGCTATTCATGCGTAAAAAATTGTTAAATCCAGAAATTCAAGTTGACTACATGAGACACAAACTAAAGCCATTTAAAATTCTTGAGATGCCAAGATCCGACAACCCCCTCTCCCCCTAGTTTTATTTTGAATTAATATTTAAAACTTTTTTATGTATCAGATTGAGTGAAATTTATGAAAACTGGGAAGGATCTTAAAATGCTTGCAATATTCACTTGTTCACAAACTTACAAATTCGTGCGTAATTTTTTTTAAATCCAGATAAGACACAAACCAAAGCCAAGTAAAATCTTGAAATGTCAGGATCCACGCTACATTCCTTATTTGTGAGGAGAGGAGCGGACCAGAAGCACTTGTTTAGAGAGGATGTAGAAATATTTGGCTAAACATGGTCCCTGGAGGTATATATAGCATTTGTTACTTGTATGTGCATAAGGACAAAAAGCAACATGCAAGAAATACAATAGGCTATATAGTATAGGTAACCCAGATGAGGCCACGGACAACTGAACTTTTATAAGTAAGTCCCAAATAAAGCAATAGAACGATCTCCTTTATCTCCTTTTTAAAAATAAAGATCCACACCCCGATTATCTCCAATCCGCGTGCGGGAACCAGACTATGCATAAGTTTTACGCATGCGCTCTTTATACTTTCGCTTTTTTGGTATTAGGCCTAAGGGATTTTTTTTCTGAAGAGTGTCAATAGGTAATTTTTCATTCTAGAATGCTCTCTCTTAATCTCTTTATAACTATTTTGCGTCATATTTGTTACCAGATACAATTATAATGTTTTTTCTCCTTTCATTAAGACTTGGTGAACCTTTAATTCATAATTTCCTCTTGATCTAGTACACAGCTGGAAACGGACACTCCGTCATGTCTGTAGGCAACTGTAAGAGATGAGACATGTCCAGGGTAATGGGTTTTGACCGACATATTTTTCTCGTAAGTACCTGACCTTTTTAAATAAAAATATTTCAGGATAGAAGTAACAATACAGTGATGGTGATGTCTGTTGTTAATCATCCAATGATTTTACATTTTTGTTCGATGCATCATCATCATCATAGAATTTCCCAAATAATGAAATGTGTATTAATACTAGTATTTTTTCCCTAAGTTTCTTTGAAACTGATACTTGAATATTAAGATAAGTAATAAATATATTTATTACATTTTCAAAAGTGAAATACTGTAAACTGAGTAACAATCATCAGAAATGGCTCAGAGAAGGAACCCAGCCAGAGAAAGGAAGCGATGCCTTGAGGTACTGGAGCTGACCGAGGAAGCAACTGATGGTAGTATCTTTACAAAGTAGTGATGAAACGATTGTCGCCAACAATTAATTGTCGATCGCTTTGAGCTCTTGTTGTTGACAATTTAGACAGGTACCCTGACATTGGTTAACGGGCGCAAGCGCCCTGAAAAACCAACGACAGGTAACCACTGCCATTTTATCGCATCACAGGAAACAGCAATGATGATAAAAATCTATATTTAGACTAGCGTAAATCCTACTCCTACAAGTAAGAGCCTCGGTTAACGTCCCTACGCTCCTTATATACCTCGGACTCTTACATCCGAAGGCCATTTTCTAACAAGCTCGTTCCGCCTGAGATTTTGGGCGGAACATATAATGCGTTAAATAAACTGTAAACAAGTAATTCTCAGGTACCTACGTGTTGCATGGGGTATACAAGTCACAAGAAATCCTAAAATCCGCTTTATTCAGTATGCACCATTATTCATTAATCAAAATTGTCATTATTTTAATTTGTCACCAGAATTACTTTCGATTTGACTTCATGCTAATTTTGCGGATTGCTAGTCAGAAAACGAAAATTTCAATGATTTCATAGCAGAAAACTAGTTTCGTTTCGTCATATATTCTGCATTCGATTCCCGAATTTCAAACAGACGACTTGTTTTCATTTCTGCTTCGATTTTAAAAATAATGGATTTATCAACAGGGAATTATTTAATCTTAGACTAATTATAAATCTCGGATTTTCAGAAAATTTTGAAATCAGGTGTAGTGCCTGAAAACTAACTTAGTTTTGCTTGAAATATCAGTTTTCACTGTAGTAGATACTGTCTAAATGGGTAAGTGTGTATATAAGAAGCTAATATAATTGAATTATTGTTTATTTTTATTCATTCACGTTTTTATTGTGTTCCAATTTCATATTTTTATTGTTTATTTTCAGTCATAATTATTATTTCTAGGGTAAATGTCTTTTATGCAGTGTATCTGGTGTTCTAGTGTTGTATCTGTAGAAAATAATGACGCATGCGCAGATGGGGGTTAGTCGATGCCTGGCATCAAAAAACGACTAACCCCCATCTGCGCATGCGTCATTATTTTCTCGCTAAATTCTGCAGTTTTCTGCAATCAGACGGCGATATTAAAATAATCCATCGAATGTCCGTCATTAAATTATCCTACGACTCCACTGTTATCGCAGAACGTTCCTTCCGAGTTGTAGATATCCATTAAACATTGCCAACAACGCACGGCTTCATAGTCCCCATGAATGAAGACCCGACTAAAGAAATGACTCGCAGCAAACGAAAATACATACCGATGCGTATTCAGCACGACAACTGCACACACCTACATATGTTTTCACAACCGTAACAACTTTTAAATCCAACGAAACGCCCAGAAAAACGCAGCGATGTAAACACTACCAAATTTACAGCAGCTTCCTAATGCAGACAACCACTACTCGACGTCACAGTCGTAAAATACGACGTCACAGGTACACTGTTTTCCCGAACTTTTCTAAAGCAAAATGGCGATTAAGCATTGTGCGTAATATAAGGCATACTGTCTTTGTTGTTCAACACACGTACTTTTAATTGTTTGCAAAAAGTTCTCCTTTAACCAGGTAATTAAATTTCACAAGAGGAAAGGAAACTGGAATGTCTTTAGTACAGAAATCGGTCTTTGAAAATTGAAGATCCATGATCCGCCCACTTGTTTCACCTCCAGCTAAGAAGTGCATATTTAGTGTGCAAATCGAGAGTTTTCAAGCCATTGTGACGTCACCCTCAATAATTTGTAACAGATCATTGAAATCTTACAAATGAATCAATAAAAAAAAAGTAATAAAGAGTTAAACTGTGGAAAACATTAGTTTGAAGTCTTTGTGTACTATAAACAAATTCCCAAGTCTTTGTGACATTACTCTTAAACTTGCAATGACGGGGAACAGAGAAAAATACTGCGTCATAAATATAATAACAATAGTATTTGAATACACCAGTCAGATTAATCCACCCCGTGTCCTCTTTTCTTGTACTATACAAACGTATTTTTTTTTAGACAGAATAACCCCCCCCCCCTGGCGAAAAACGGATCGAGTACTCAGTTCAAATATTTTTATTTTTTTTTTATTATAATTATTTTCATCATCAAAATATATATATATTTGTATTGGTTCCAAAAAAAAAATTGAACAAGTTAAATTGATGCAAATCATCAAATCGACCTCAAAAATATATAAATCAAAAATATATAGAGCATTTTGAAGTATTTCCAAAAGAAAGAGCCCCCCCCCCCCCCCCCCCCAATGCATTTATGGCAGAATCTTGGAGAGGCGGATCTAAGAAAAAAAAATTAAATATTTTCTTCAGTGGCATGTCTGATGCACCTTGGAATTTAGTGTTTTTTATTTTTTATTATAGCCTTAAAATAATTCTGAATCTAGGGAGAATCCACAGTGTGCAAGTCTTTCTAAGACACTGTGAGTTACCCCATACCCTGCATATTTCACTTACCCATTGAGAAGAAGGTAAACATGGCCTATTTACACCCTTCATACGTTCACAGGCAACATTTCTCAATATTTGAAATTTTAATTCTTTTCCCCAGACACTCTCCTTCCTATCTATGCCCTAAAATCAGTCCATCCCACCCCGTACGAATCCTAAGACATATTTAGGAGAAAAAACCCTGCGCTTTGCTTGGTCAATGAAATGGGGTAAAATTAGTACCTGTGGCATACTAATACTTTCTAAAATCAAATTAAGGGTTACATACAAATTCCAACATTTATTTTAATTTCCTTTTTATTTAACTTTGTTTATTGTTTACTCTTTTATTTTCTATAATTATATGTTTCATTTTAAATGTATTATTATTATTATTGAGCACATAAAATATTGAAATTATGCCACCACCACCCCCACCCCCGAAAAAAAAATTAAAGGCGTCATATTATTCTTTAAAAATAAAATTTAAAGCTTTAATCTTATATCTGTAAAAGTTTTGGATCCTTCACTCAACACTGTTGACATCATTTGTCTCGGATAATATAAAGATAAGCGTAAGCCAGCGTTAATTGCGCATTGATTGATTTCAGTCTACATGCAGCTACACCAGAGAAAATCCACAGAATTTCTTCCCATGTAGAAAAGTGCATCTTTATGATAGATTTTTACACTTGTTCGACTTTTCTGTGTATTTTTTATCCCCTCGCAAGGGAGTTGCGTGTTTGTTTGTGGGTGAGTGAGATAGTTCTCTGCGAAACGGAAGTGACGTAATTTGCATTGGAATCGATGTCGGATGCTGCCTAAGCTTATGGATAATAAATTGCGCAGCTCGATCACTATATAATAGTATGCTGCTAATCTATTATTATTATCATTTTCTTTAGCTTCATGTGGTTTTCTACCTTCTCAATATTTTTGTCCCAGTTTCAGACAATTGTGGATATGTAATCTTGCATTTTCACGAGTATCTTATTTGTGTATTGTAATCTTCCATTTATACCTACATGTTAAATATAACATGGTTAATATTCATGGTTAACATGGTTAATATTCTACCATATTACGATATTTTAATATTATTTAATTAAATGTGATCTTATTGTTATAATTGTGTTTGCCCTCTGAGGGCCCTTGATTGGTGAATAAGCATACTATTATACATCATATTTCAACAACATGGGAATGGGAAGGGGCTGTAAGCCTTTGAATGAAATTGTCCATACAAGGACTCTTTTCGGACAAACTATTATTGCGCAGATTTAGAGGGATATCTGGAGTGTCCAACTCCACCCTCGGATATTTTCTGGGATATAAAATTTAAATAGCAAAGTAAACCAAAATGACCCCCCCCCCCCCCGTTTAAAAAAAACTCAGACACTTAGGACACCTGGTAAAATGTGATCGAATGAGTCATTTACATGTCCTAACACCCGCTCCCAAATAGGTTGTGCGCTTATGATTGGCTACTCCAAAAAATTGGAGATTTTTTTTCTGTTGGAGTAGCCCCCTCATTCTCCTAACCTCGGAAAATAATCACACGTTTCAAAGCACACCATCATGTAAGAAATATTAATTTATATGTTTATATTTCACATAAAATGTAAATCCTGTCTCTCCATATAGCGTCCCTGCATTGATGATGGTTTTCCTGGTCGATGTTCACAGGCTCGACTTGTAGTACTAGTAATGCAGTGCTGGATTTTCAAACTCGCAATCGCGTGGCAATATTGTGTAGGAAACAGATCATGTCACATTTTGATAAAATATTTTGGAAAAAATAAAATAATTAATGATAGTGAAGGTAACATTATGTAAGCAAAATCATATAATTGTTCTTTTTTTTTTGCTGGGAAAATTGTTAGACTGTAGTGATGCTTTTATAATATGCACAGTATTATTTCTTCTTCGAACAACAGTTAACACTTTACATGGAGGTTTACAATTCCTTAATTTTGTTGATACTAATGTAGATTAAATATTATCGATAATGTAGACCTTTTGTCTTTATATGCTATTTTTAAATGTCTCGTTCCAGCTGATGCATAAAAAGAGAGATTTCTTTTTATTGACAATGCAGCCCCTTAGAATGCCGGGGGGGGGGGTGTCTAAGTATAGTTTTTCACTGTTGTAAATCTTTATTTAAATACTTCAAGTAGTCTCCCCCGTTTTGTTGCAGCATTAAGATCTAGCACTCGCAAACTCCTGCTGTTGAAAAAGAAATGTACTAATATACCCCCCCCCACCCCCCCACCCCCCTTCGAAATAGGTGTTTTGAGTTTGGAGACTTTAGTCTTTTTTTTTTTACTGCATAAACATGATAAATATTGCATCTCAAAGTAATTGCCAAAAAAAAAAAATCTCAGTAAATGCTAATGATAGATTTATAATTAAGCTGTCAGTGCATAATATCAAATAAAGTAGTTCGTCGTATAATGTAAGCGTTATTGTTTATATTTGCCGTAACATAGAATCAGCTACAAGACTTAGTATATCCTTTAAAAAGAAACTTGACCTAGCGCTG